GCTATGATGCCTTACAACAAGCATGAAAGGCCCAACCCCCCAGGCTTTTTGGGCACATTATGAAAGAATGCTGCTTGCTGCCACAATGAATAGTGGCGTTTATATTATGGGCTACTATATAAATGTTTTTTTAAGCAAACCTGTAAAAATGTAATGATCTCAGAATATTGGACCCAGAATTCAAGGCGAGACAGGCAGTGGGAAAGTTCAAAACGTTTATTAAACACTAACAGGTGCTTGGGGCTGCGCGTCTGCTACGGGGCGGATCTCTGCAGGGATAGGAGAATACAGGTCAGTGACTGGATGTGGAGCTGAATGCGACTTGGAGCAAAGTCACTGACCTGATTCAAAGTTCAGTCCGTTCGCAGAGAACTCAGCAGAATCCAGAAGGGAGGTTTGACCGCAGTTGCGGCGGCCACGCCCCCAGAGTTCCTAGAGAGCGAGCAGCAGACGCCGAGCAGCAACAGAGTCCAGAAGGGAAATCCAAGGCCGAAGTCAGAAGACAGTTTCAGGTTCAGAAGCCGGTAGAATCCAGGATCAGATGCGACAAACAGAGCAGACAGGGGGAAGGCAAAACTCGAGATCCACAGGGCAGAAAACTTGTCATAAACAGAGAAGCAGACAGACTAAAGAAAGCTAGGAAACGTCTCACCAAAACACACAAGTAACCTGGCGCTTAAGGGAGGCAAACACACAGCTTAAATAGTAGAGGGACCAGGTGGAAATGATCGGCGATAATCAGCCGCAGAACCAATTAGACAGGGAGCAAGGAGCAAAGGAAAAAACCAAACCATCAGCGCCAAGATCATGACAAAAAAACCCATTTCCATTTCTTTCGTTTTTAAAATTAAATAAAAAATTNACCCCACATGTGATTTTTGTCATCTCTGATGTAAAGTTGCCTACTGATATAAAAAAGTCCCTTTCCTTAAGTAGGATTTAAACCAGTTGAGAGATGTGCCAGAGAGGCTGACCCAGTTTTCCAGGCGCTCTAACAGGATGGAATGATCGACAGTATCGAATGCTGCACTGAGGTCCAATAGTACCAGCGGTTCTTCCGCAGTCTGTATTTATACGGATGTCATTATACACCTTGATAAGGGCGGTCTCTGTACTGTGGTGAGCACAGAAACCTGACTGTAACTCCTCAAAGCGGCTGGTCATACGAAAGAAAGTGTTTAATTGTTGAAACACAGCTTTTTCAATAATCTTACTGATAAAGGGGAGGTTTGAGATGGGCCTGTAGTTCTGGAGTAGTAGTTTGTCTAAATTGTTCTTTTTCAGCAGTGGTTTTTGCTGTTTTTTGGGACACCTGACAGAAGGGACGTGTTTATAATCTGAGGCAAATCAGATGCTATGACAGGCAAAAATTTCTTAAAGAAAGCTGTGGGTAAAACATTAAGGCAGCAGGAGGAGGAACTTAGCAGCTGAATGATTTCCTCTAAGCTTTTGTAGTTTATTTGGCTGAATTGGTCAAGATCAATTCCAGTTGGAGACAACTTTGGTACTGAAGTAGAAAAAAATGTTGCCTGGGAGTAGTACCTTGGAGACTTAACCAGCCGGCATCCCAAGGAATGATATAAATGTACTCTGGGAACAGCCAGCACTGATTATAAATTGTTGCAGCATTTATTAAACATTTTTCACATCAGCTGTAATTGTGAGAAAAAAAATGTTTGGCCACCTTCAGATGGAATTAAATTTTGTTTTGGCTTTGCCTTGTATTATTATCCACTTTCTCTTAATGATTATCAGAAGGATATAAATAGGGAGCGATGCAGTAAATGTGCAAATACTACTTTTTTTTCTACCTACTACTTGGAGTCCTTTTTCAGATGGTTCACTCTTCCACTTAAGTCATGTAATCTTCTGGGACAAACTTTGAAAAACTAACTACTACCACGACAGTTTGCAAATTATCTCTCACAACCCCAAAAAAAATCACCTATAGGCCTATTAGGCTACGTTCACACTGCAGCATGAAGTGACCCAAATCTGATTTTTTTGCCCATATGCGACCTGGGTCTGATCTTTTCATCGCAGTCTGAACACCACAGATCCAATTTTTTCCAATCCGACCCAGGTCACTTGACTATGTGATCCTGAATCCGATAGAAATGTGATCTTTTCAAAAGTGACCTGTGTGTGAACGGCCAGGTCGGATTAATCATTAATACCCGAGAAAGGTCACTATCATGCGTCTTGTTACGTAGAAGCGGCAGGAAATAAAACAACCACTGCAGATGATGTTGCGGAGAGCAATATTTATGTTTAACCATTTTGAAAAGATTGTGTTTTTATTGTTGGAAAAGACCGCTAGCTGCACGCCACCACTAAAATCCATGTTTACTTCCGTAAACAAATAGCACGCTGGCCTGTGACGTCATTGCGTCCTCTACTGCGCATGCGGGACACTTGCGCTGTATGACTGCAGTTCACACAGAGATCA